GGGGGGGGTCCGAAACTCCTCCGAGGGGCTTTTGGAGGTGCTCAGGGTGTGGGCACCTGCTTCACTCCAGCCCGGCACGGGGGGGCCCGAACCCGCCCGTCCCTGCCACCGCCGGGCTCCGTACCACGTCCTGCTAGGCCCCGGGGCTCGGCTGCCCCGCGCGTCACCTTTGAGACCCTCAGTCCCCTCCGGAAGAGCCGTGGGACGGGGCGCCAGGCCCCCGCCTGCCTCTCCCCAGTAACCCCCAGCGCAGCATCAGGAGGGCAGGTGGAAGAAGCGGCTGATCCTGTGGGCGCCCCGTGGCTCTCCTCGCCGCTGCGCCGGCAGCGAGTTCCCCAGTTCCTCCTCCAGCATCTGGAGGACAGAACAGCGCTGCTGTGGCCCAGGGCTCGCAGCGGGGGGAGAGCAGCCCTCCAGCGTGTCCCAGGGTGGTGGCGGGGGGGACGCTGCGGGGCCACTCACCTCCTTGCGAGCCACCAGCCGCTGCTTCCAGGCGCCGAGCTCCATGGCGTGCTCCTGGTCCAGCCGCCCCAGCTGCCGCCTCTCCTGCTCTGCCAAGAGGTGCATCTTCTCCCCCTGGGAGAGGAGAGGTGGAAAGGGGAAGGAGGAGGCTGGAGGAGAGGTAACAGGGGTGGAGGGGGCAGTTTTGCAGCCGTTCCCCCAGTACCTGCATCTGCTCCAGCTCCGCCAGGCTCTGGGCCTGCTGCTGCTGCAGCTGCTGCAACCGCTGCGCCTGCTGCTCCTGCTGCCGCTGCGCCTCCACTCGCTGCCGCCTCTCCTCCCACTGCACGAACTGCGGGGGGACAGCCCAGTCACCCTCCCTTTGCCCAAAAGGCTTTTCCGGGATTTTGGTGCTGAGGGAGCCCCTTGTCCCCCGGCTGGGTCCTCGTACCTGCTTGGTCCTCTCCCTCTGCTTGGCCCCATTCACCTCCTGGATCTTCAGGTTGTCCTTGAAGAGGGCCAGGCGGATTTTGGCGTCGCAGCGTTGGCTTTTCAGCAGCTGAGCCTGCTCCTGCGCCTGCTGGCTCCTCAGATCCTCCAGCAAGAGCTGGTGGAAGCGGTTCATCCTCTCCGTCTCCTGGGAAAGGGGCAGGAGGGTGAGGCAGGAGCCCGTAGGGCTGGGGGAGCGTCGCCGGCGGCTCCTGCCTCACCTTCTCGTGGCGCTTGCGGAGCTGCTGCCGCTGCAGCGCGTGCTGCTCCTTCACCTGCTGCCTGAAGAGCTGGTACTTCTCCTGCAGGTGCCCTTGCTCCATGCTCCACACCACCGACTCACGGGCTACCGGGCAAGACCGCAGCACCGTCACCACCTCCAAAACCCCCCAGGCAGACCCCCTGCTCCCCTCAAAGAACCCTCCGCCACCCTCCTCCTCCTCCCAGCACGCTCCACCTCTCCTGAGGCTATGGATCTTGTTGACGCACTCCCAGTCGATGGACGTCATCATCTTCTTGTGCTCCTGGACGACCCTCTGCAGGGCTGCGTTGAGTTCCTGCTGCTGCTGCAGCAGGAACCGCTGCTCCTGCGGCGAGCAACGGAGAGGGCTTCACCCCAGCACCCAGGGGAGACGGGGCCCAGGCTCCTGGGGGCACGTCTGGGGGAGCCAGCGCTGCTCCGGCCACTCACCTCTCTCCCATCGCCCTTCAGCTCCTGCATCCTCTTCCCACAGTCCTTCTCCTGGAGGGACTTGAGGCGCTTGGCCTCGTCTCGCAGCCTCGTCGTGTACTCGAGCTCCTGACGCTCCTTCAGCTGCCGGTAGCGCCGCTCCGAGCTCTCCACCTCCCGGTCGTAAAACTCCTTCTTGCTCTGCCATACAGATATGGTTAATGGGGACACCAGAAGTGGCCACGAAAGCAACCAAACCCTCCCCACCCTCCTAGACCTCAGCATCTCCGGCAGTAGGACCCCAACACCCCCTCGCACTCTGAGCCGCTCGTGCACCGAGGGACAATGGTCTGGTTACCGTCATCTCCTGCTCGATGTGACGGAACATCTGCTCCCGCTGCTGGTGGAACTTCTGCTCCAGCTGGCTCTGAGCTCGCTGCTCTTCCTTCTGCAGCACTCGCAGCTCACGGAGCTCCTGGCGCCTAAAGATTTGGGGAATCGGGGTGAGGGGGGGGCTGAAGTGGCCATGGAGGCACCTCTCTCCTTCCCAGGATGGCTGACTGGTAAAGGAAAGGAAAAGCTCAGCCCTGGTCCAACATCAGGGAGAAGAATTTCTCCGGCAGGAAGGCAGATGGGATGGATGCCTGTTGGGCTCCGTGGTGACCACGCTCCCAAGCTCAGTTGATGTCACTGCCCCTCCATCTCCCCCTTCAGCCCCTCCTTGGGTGACACAAGAGCTTATGGGAGAAGATCTTCCCCTCTTCTTTGCTTAAGCTGGCTGCTGGACACACCAGACATGGGGCTGGGCAACGTTTTGGCTCCTCAGGTCTCCCTCCTGCACAGCCCTGAGGATGCAGGGAAGGGCTGGCTCGCCCTCTCCAGCTGGGTGGCAGATGGATTTATCCGAGCCTGAAGGTCAAGTCCTTGAGCTTCACACAGAGCTCCCCAGACCCATCCTCCCTCCCACACCCTCTCCTCTCCCCTTTGCCCCTGGTCCTCCTTGTCTGGACACAGCTGGGAGACGCTGGGTGCCATCACTCACCGGGCCGAGCGCACCATCTCGTCCCTTGCCCCAGCCTTGCCGACGGTCCTGGCCGTCGTCACGCTCACCTCCTCCCCATCCACCACAAACCTCCGCGTTTTCTTGACCGTCCTTTGGAGCGAGGCAGGTTCCTGTGACCGGAATCAACCGTTCGAGCTCGGATGGCCCAAAACTACATAAACTCAACGCGGGAGCCCACGCAAGGTGGAGCAGCTTCACGTGACCCTGTCACCGACAAGCTTCTCACCTGCTGGGCTCCCCTGGCAGAGGGGAAAGGCTGCGCGGCTGCAGGGAGGGCACTCGGACCTCGTGCATCCGCAGGGGTTTCCGCAGGAGATGGCTCCTCTCCCTGCTTTGGCGCGATGGATGGATCTGGTGGGTTCCCTGCTTCCCACGCTGCCCGCGCCTGGGAAGAGGTGCGGACAAGGGCAGCATCAACCCTGACGGTCTTTGTGGCTTTTGGATGTCCACCAAGGGCCTCCCGGGGCTCTGGCACTGCTCCGCAACCCCCCGAGCCACCCATCTCCTCTCCAGATCCATCCCTTGATGGTCCTTCAGGAGCTGGAGCAATCTGCACCCCATTTCCCCCAAGTTCTCCATCGTTTCCATCTTGTCCTTTCCATCCATTGCCATGCGCAGCTCCTGGCTGGTTGTCTCTGGGGCTGTTTCCTGCTTTCTCTTCTGTTTCTTCTTCAGCAGGCTCCAGGATCTCCATGGGGGATGAATCCTCTGCTGAATTTCGGGCCTCCTCCCTTGCAGGTTCCTCTCCTGCACACGCTGCCTCCAGTTCCTCTCCTGGCAGCATCACTTCCCCCGTGCCGGCTGCATCTCCCGCTGGGTTACCGTCTCCAGTCAAACACCCTTTTACAACGTCCTCTTCCAATTTCACTTCTGCTGGCACCGGAGCTTCCACGGGAGAAGTTTCTACCCCACTTCCAGTGTTGTCTGTGGCTAGTCAGCGATGGGCTCGCACACAGCCGAGTTTCTCTCCCCTTTGTTCTCTCCTCCAGCCTCTCCCAGCTCAGCCAGAGGCTCCTGTCGCCCCTTGAGCACATCTGACCCCCCACCCGCCGCCTCCGTCACGCTGGGTATCAGCGATTCTTCGCCCCTCTGCCCCACCAGCCCAGTCTCCCCACCCTCTCCAGCACCCTCAGGTCCCACGGGGGCCCTCCCTGTGCCATCACCATCCTTCCCAGGGCCATCTTCAGCCCCGGGGGAGCCAACTTCAGCCTTCAGGTCTGGCAATGACCGAGTAACCTGGTGCTGATCGGACTTGAAGCTCCAGGTTTTGAGCCCCACGACCCACAGGTCCAGGGCTGCCACCAGCTGCCCCATGGCCGAGCCTCCGTGCCAGCCCCCGTCCGTGGGTGCAGGCAGGGCCAGGGAGTTACAAGTAGGGTCTCTGCTCGACTCCTCTTTTGTGTCACTTTTGGGGGTCAAAATGGGGCTCAGCTGGGCTGCAAGCTGTCCCTCCGCAGGCGTTTCAGCCACTGGCAACGTGTCAACATGTTGACTTTCCTCCTGGGGCTCTGCCTGGGGTCCAACCTCTGTCTTCAGCCCTTGCAGTCCAGCACAGTCTCCTGCCCACTGCGGCCCCAAGGGGAGCTCAGCCACGTTGCGGGGGGTCCCCAAAGGGCTGCTCTCCTCCTCTGGACACTCCTGAACTTCTCCTGCCTCTGCTGGGACCGATGTCCCTTGAGGAGCACCCAGCGCCGGCACCTCCAACTCCCTCGGCTCTGCCCCGCGCTGCTCCTTCGCTGTTTCTTGGGACTTCATCCCTCCAAAAAACGACCGGCGCCGCAGCAGCTTCAGAGACTCGGACAGCCTCTTCGCAGGGAGCCTCATGGAGCCCACGGGCTCGAGCTGGGATCTCCTCCTCATTTGCTTCAAGAAGTTGGATGTTCTCTTGGTCCTGGGCTCTGTCACCACCTGGGCGTCGGGCGGGATGTCCGGTTCCTCACCGACTCTCCTCGCAGTGTCCGGGGGCTGATGCTCCAGGGGATCCCCCGGGGTCGAGGGGCAGGAGGACTCTCCATGCTCCTGCCCAGGCTGTTGGGTGGACAACAGAGAAAGAGGCGAGGGCTCAACGAGCTCCTGGAAAGGGTTGGAGGGATCTTGCACCCCAGCCAGTCCCTACTCACGCACCAAGGGGATTGGACCTTCCTCCTCATCCTCCTCCTCCAGCACGTCAGCCCGGGCTTCAGCCACCAGCTGGCGGAGCGGCCGCTTGTCGGAGATGCCCGCCACGAAGGGGTGCTGGGTGGGAGCAAGGGAGGGGAGTGGGGCCAACGCCGGGGATGGGTCCCACCACCCTGGGCAGGTGGCGATGGGTGCTGCCTACCTGCAGGAGCTGGCTGGCCGACCACCGCGCCTCAGGGCTCTTCTCCAGGGATTTCCTCAGGAAGTCCTTGAAGTCTTCAGACCTGTGGGATGGTCCCTGTGAGCACGAGGCCAGAAGCTCCCTGTGACCCCCACTGTGGGCCCCACAGACCCCGGGGTGATGCCAGGGGACACTCGGGCTCTGCTACCACCTTGGCAGGAGCTCCCCACCCCGGTGCTGCCCACCGGTGTCACCTTCTGCGGGCCAAGGTTGTGTCACTTCTGGAGGAATCACAACCAGCATCGCTCACGGTCCAAGAGCCCACCCCAGCTGCCCGGACGTGGCTTTGAGCAGGAGCTGCCCCACGGGACAACAATTCCCACCGTCACCAAGGTTGGGGTGATGTCTCTGCGCAGGGACTCACCACCTCTTGGGGTGACGCAAGGTGGGTGGCTGCGACTTGGCGATCTTCAGCAGCACCCGGAGGGGGTTCAGCTCGTGGTAGGGGGGCTCCATCTCGGCCATCTCGATCAGCGTGATGCCCAGCGACCAGATGTCAGCCTTGTAGCCGTAGGGACTCTCCTTGGACGTCTCGCACTGCACCACCTCCGGGGCCATCCTGGGCGTGGGAGAGAGGGGAGAAGGTGCAGCCCACCCTGGGCCGGGGGCTGGTATCTCCCCGTAAAACCAGCCCCTCGGGAGACAACCCTCCAGGCAGAAGAGGAGATTCAACCCCAACTCTTCCAGTGCTGCCCCAGGAGGGCTCACACCCCCCAGCACCCCACGTGTCCTCTCCACGCTACCAAGAAGCCCACCCTGGAGCTGGCGTTGGCTGGAGGAGGAATAACCCAGTTCCCCAAGGTGCTCCCAGTGTCGAGGAACCGGTTGTGAGCATCCGCGGGAGGAACAGGAGACCTGGGCTCCCACCCACCACTCTCAAATCCCACCATCCCCGGGGATCTCTGCCCCACGCCTACCAGTACGGGGTGCCGATGAAGGACACCCGACGCTGGACAGTGCTGGAGTTTTTAGCCGAGACGCCAAAATCAGCTGCAGAGCAGAAAGCAGCGGGTTAGAGAGGATCCTCGGGACAAAACATCCCCGGGGCTTCACTCCCGGCCTCCCTCAGTGCCCCGATTCCCCCGGGACTCACCCAGCTTGACGTCCCCGTCGAGGGTGAGCAGGACGTTGCCAGCCTTCACGTCCCTGTGGATGATCTTGCAGCCGTGCAGGTACTGCAGCGCCAGCAGCAGCTGCTTGCAAGCCACTCGGATCTGCTCCTCCGTCAGCCCTTTCTCCAGCTCTGCCGTCAGCGCAAACGAACCCGCCGCTAACGACGCCTCCTGCCCAGCACCCCCCTGCAAACCCGGGGGAAGATGCACCCCGACCCATCCTCCCTCCCGGAGAGGCTGCACAAGCCCAGGACTCCCTCCCGCGCCCTGAAATTTAGCAGTCCCATCCTAAATCTTCCCATGGCCACACACAAGCCAGAAAAAAAAACCAAAACATTTCTTTACCCAAAATCGCTGCATCCACAGCCCCTCCGGGACAAAACTCCACCAGGATCTGCAGGGAGAGGTTTCCCACCCTGGTCTGCAAACGTGTCGCCTGCAGACCGAGTCCCACAGCCCCGAGACGGTGGGGGGACCCCAGTCGGGGGCCCAGCACCCTCCGCCGCTCACCCAGAGCCGCCCGTTCCAGTAGAGCGCGTCCAGCAGCTTGGTGATGTTGGGGTGGTCGCAGCACGCCAAGATCTCGATCTCCATCACATAATCCTCCAGCTCCTCCTCGCCCGGTGCCTCGATCACCTTGGCGGCCGCCAGCGCCCCCGTCACCTTGTTCTGCGCCTGCCGGGGGGAGGTTGCGTGGGGGTTCGTGGGGTATGAAAGGAGCAGCCCCGAGATTTCAGCGAGGGGGAAGCTTGGAGCCGTCGTGTCCCTCCCCAGGAGCCAAACGGTGGGGACGGGCGTGGGGACCGGCGTGGGGGACACCGTTGTCACCAGAACCAGGAAGGAGAGGGCTGCGCAGTCACCCCGTGCATGGGGCTGATGTGCAGGTGGCCCCGGTGTGGTTGTGGCACCCCGCGCATCCCGCTGTACCCCAAAACCTTCTGTACTCAGTGCGGCCGTGGCACCCTGTACACGGGTCCCAGAGCGTGCCACTGTACCCCAAAACCTTCTGCTCTCAGCATGACTGTGCCAACCTGTGCATGGGTCCCAGAGCATCTTGCTGTACCCCAGAAGTTTACGCCACTGGCACGGCCATGCCACCCCGTACACAGGTCCCAGAGCATCCTGCTGTACCCCAAAATCTTCTGCCCTCAGCATGGCCATGCCAACCTGCACATCCCACTGTACCCCAAAACCCCTCTGGCAAGCTGCATCCTCCCACAGATGCCATATAGTTGCCGCGGGCACAGCCCCAGGGGCCTGGGGGTCCCTGCAACCCTCCCCAAGGGCCTTCGGGTGGCTCCACAGCGCAGCCCCATCCACCGGCGACGCCGAGGCACTCGGCTGCCTCGGAAAAGCCGGAATGGGAAGCGGGTTTGGGCAGGACAAGCCCAGCCAGGACTGAGACCATCACCGCTGCATGTCACCGGCGCCAGAAGGCGTCTGACAAATGGCGAATTTGGGTTTCCTGTCGCTCTCGGGCTCTGCGCTGTGGTTTCAGAGAAAAACATCCCCGTCTCAACACCCTCGCTCCAACCAAGGCCAGGAACAGCCGCCGGCAAACGGGCCAGAGGAGCCGGTGGTTCTCGCCGAGCCACAGGTCAGGGCTGGGCTGAGCCAGCACCCGCGAGGACCCCGCCATCCTCTGCTACAAAAACTTGGGGCTGTTGAGAGGTTTTTTAGCTTCTCGCGTGCCGGAAGCTGCACAATTCGAGGCAGCGCTGCCAAGAACAAACGCACTGGCAAAACCTCTGGGGGCAATCGGCGTTTTGGGGCGCTCTCCTACCTTGAAGACCTTGCCAAAGGCGCCGTCGCCCAGCTCGCCCAGCACCAGCCAGGCCTCCTCGGGGTCCACGTCCCGCTTGACGTGCTCGTACCTCCTCGGCGGCTTCTTCTTCTCCGAAAAGCCAAAAAGCCGCCGGAGAAAAGCCATGGGGCCGCCTCCATGCAGAGAAAACGGGGCAGCTGGGCTCAAGTTCCTCCACCAAGCACCTTCGCAGCCCTCGCTCTTCCTCCCGCCGTGGGCAGGAAGGGGCTGAGCGCTGCCCCGGCCCGCGCAGGATGTGCAGCGAGATGGAGGTGCCGAAAAGGAGACGCTTTGCCCCACACGCATCACGTCCCACCTTCGGGTATTTTCAGGGTGAGGGAAAGGGCTCGTGCTCCCCCCAAAGGTGCTCCTGCACCCCTGCCAAAGCCCCCGGCGTGGGTGTTATTTATCCACAGATAAATATCACAGCGCCCATCCCTGTGAATTTTAAGCATCCATCCATGCACTGCCCCGGTCGGGCTCAGCAACAGGCTCCATCCTTGAGCTGAGCTTAAACAGGTCCCACGGGTGTTGGGACACCCCAGGTGAGGCTGTTACAGCTTAATTAGTGCCCCACTAATTAACTCACCCTGAAAAGACCCTTGTGGTCAGGCCAGGGTTCAGCTGTGCCCCCGCTCCGGCCGAGGGTCGGGGTGTCAAGGGCTGGGACCACAGCTGACACCCTTCTCGATGGGGGGCACCCAAAGCCCCCCCCCAGCACCCAAAGGCATCCGGCTGCTCCCCTAAATCAAGGCGGGTTTTACCTCCTAAATCGTAAACGCCCTGTGCCGGTGTGGGTGCAGCAGCTCCCCGGTGCTGGGGGGGCCTCGGCTCACGTGTGCTCCGGAGGAGGCTGTTTTCCCAGTGATTACATCAGTTAATCACGGGGTAATTAAAGCCAGGGAGCTATTTTACAGCTTTATATTCATAACATACAGCGTCAGGCTTCAGAACAGCCGCGGTTCTGTACCGGCACCGTGAACCCACGGCGGGAGGGTGCTGGCGGTTCCGCAACCCCAAACCCCCCCGGCGGGTGATGAACCCTCTCCCCAGTTCGTGCCCGAAGGGATGCGGGTGCCGCCGGCGCCGTCCCCAGCAGCCGGGCTTTCGTCTTTTGGCTCTTTTCTTCCTTTTCCTTTTTTCCTTTTCCTTCTCTGACTCCTCCTCCTTTCTTTTTCTTCTCCTTTTCTATCTCATTCTCCACTTTCCTTCTTCTTTTTCTCCTTTTCCTTTTCCTCCTTCTCCTTTTCCTTTTCTTCTCTTTTTCCTTCTCTTTTTCTGACTCCTCCTCCTTTGTGTCCTTCTTCTCCTTTTCTGTCTCATTCTCTATTTTCCTTTTCCTCCTTCTTTTTCTTATTTTCCTTTTCCTCTTCCTCCTTCTTTTCCTTTTCTTTTCATTTACTTCCTTTTTCTCCTCCTCCTTTTTATTCCTCCTTCTCCTTTTCTGTCTTCATTTTCTTCTCCTTTTCATCCTTCTTTTTCTTTTCCTCCATCTCCTTCTTCCCCTTTTCCTTCTCCTTTCCCTCTGTCCCCTTTTCCTCTTCCTCCTCCTATTCCTTTGCAGCCAGCAGCCCGCTGGCTGAGCCCTGACACCTTTCAGTGCACCAATGGCCACTATCACCCCAGCAACATCTTTCAACCTCAATAATTCCCCTTTTCCTCCAGCACCTCTTCACCGGGATTAAAAATTAACACACACACACACGGGGAGAAACTCCTCCTCGTGCCGCTGCTGGAGCGGAGCCCCGCAGGGGCCGGATCCCACCCAGGGATGCTCAGCTCCCCCCGGGAGTGAAAATTCAATATTTTGCCAGCCAGGCGAGCAGAGCCGGTGGCCAGTCCTGGCAAGCTGGGCCACGCAGCCAGCCGCCCTGTGCAAGGGGAAACTGAGGCAGGAGGCTCACCCCCCCCCAGCTTCCCCCCATTCTGCTCCAATAGAAACTGGAGCAGGGAATAGAAACTCAAATCGGGGTGGGTTTTTTTGTTGATTTTATTTTTGCCCTTTTTCATTAAATCACGTTATTATTAGGTAGAAGGTGGGTGCGTTCCTGGAATGAAAGGGTTAATGTCACCCTCGGATTCCTTCACCCCCTTTTGCAGCCCCGGGGAGGGGGTGACAGGAGCCAGATGCCCCCCCTGACCTCCCCCTGCTTCTGCTTTCTCGGGCTGTTGGCCCAAAATGAGTCACCGGGGGATTTTTCTTTTTTTTTGGGGCTCTTTCACAAACCGGCCGGGGGGGGGGGGGG